ATAGTAGTTAGTATAGATTTTTGAAACATTAGGTTAGTTAATGTAGTTATTTGGGTTAGTTTTGGTTGAATCCATTTTATTTAATGTATTATTTAATGCATTATTTAATGTTTGATGTTAGTTAGTGTAGATATTTTAAACATTAGGTTAGTTAATGTAGATATTTCAAACATTAAGTTAGTTAAAGTATTATTTAAGGTACATTCTCTTTCATATAAAGTTAAGTTAGTTTAGTTTTATATTTATGCTATTAAAAATTTTCCTATAATCTGAATTAAGTTTTATCTACGGAAATGTTCATGCTCTTAAAAATTTCCCTATAAATTTAATTTTATAATTATGGTTTTATAATTTTGTAATATAATTTAATGTTAATATAATTTATTTTCTTTTTTGATTAGGCTTTAATAATTTTATAATATTAGTTAGTGTTGATTTTTTAAATGTTAGGTTAGAAATTTGTTAATTTATTTAAAGCATAATCTTCAATTAGTTGTAAACTTTTCAATTGTTTTTTTTTGTATTTATTTAGGGTTATATTAATGTATTTTTAGTTTTTGATTATAATTTGGGTTAATAATTTATGTTAATAGTGTACATAATATTATAACATTTACGTAAGTCATAAATAAATATAATTTTGTTTTCATTGTTGTGCATTATAATTTGGGAAATATTAGGTGGTATGTTGTTTGTGGACACTGCCTCCAGCTTCGTCCCTGCGAAATATTTATTATTTTGATGATTTCCAGCAATGTGGGACGTATAGTTGGGGCTCTGTAGTTCTTGCACTCTTATATAAGGAGTTATGCAAAGTGACTGACAGGAGACGTTCAGATATGGGTGGTTGTGCACTGTTACTGCAGTTATGGGTCTGGACCAGGTTCCCGACTATCTCTCCTCCACTCCCTGAGGTCATCGATGAGTATGCCATTTATGGAGCGAGGTATGTATCCTTTGACTATGTCACTTGTTCCTCTTTTCGTTCTTGAAATTGTTTATATTGTTGTTTGTAATATAATATATTATCATAAATGCAGGTTTAACATTTATGATCAGCGCTAGACTGTGTTTAATCACATTCGCAGGTACCGCCATCATATAGACGTTATGCGTAGACGACAGTGTCGTTGGAGACCATACCTGGGCGTGACCCATAATGTACCTCCTGCAGACACTGCCCGCAGATGGATTTCAGTTTGTCCACTCGTTTGTTATCAGATCGTTGTGTACCAGCAGCTCGATAGAGTTCTTCGGCAATTTGGTTTTCAGCAGCCTATTCCTGAAGCTCCAATTAATTGTCTTGAGCTGTTGACACTTAGCATTACCGGTAAGACAGATGTCGATTGGAGGGAACGACATGGATTCTACATTGCGCAGTGGGAGGACAGGGATTCTTTGGTTCTTCAGGATCTTTTGCCTTTCGCGCATGGCGATCACGGCCCCCTAGCGAATTCGCTACATGAGGTTCTACTTTATGCAACATAATTCGCTATGCCCCCTAGCGAATTACTAGGGGGCTGACAACTGTCCATTATCAATCACAGTGGTCCCTATTTCGCTATGAGTCATGGCAAAATTAGTACATAATTCGCTAGGCAGTACAGCGAATTATGAGGGTATTGACACGTGTCCTGAAAATGACTGGACAGGACTGGAAAACTGACACATAATTCGCTGCAAGGTACAACGAATTACAGGAGTTGTGACACGTGTCCGACAAGAGCCTGCCATGAATGACTCCTTCTCACTGTAATTCGCTACATACCCAGCGAATTACTCCTGGGATGACACGTGGCATTCTTGCTGACGGGGCAATCTGACCTGGCATAATTCGCTGCACAATGTAACGAATTATTTGCAAACGTAATTCGCTACACTGTGTAGCGAATTAGCCCGCGTGACAGTTTGGAAAATTTTACTGTTCGCGTGGCATTTTGGTCATTTGTTTGCCAAAGCGTGGCACATTGGTCACTGTCCCTACAATCTATGTAGCTTGATGGCCAATGTTTCACAATTCATAGAATCTTCTTCATTGGTCGGCTTCAAGCGGTGTCTGTTTTGTTTTCGCAATTGTAAAAATATTATATAGGGATCAATCTTTCTCATATTATAGGAGATAATTTTATCTTATATATATACATAAAAATGTGTGAATCTATTTTTTTTTTCTCTCTTCTTTTCACAAAGACCCACATGGATCTAGAATATAAAATTATCTCTTGCAATATAAGAAACATTGATCTTTCTTACATAATAGGGTGTTATTAATATCATGTAAAAAGAGATAAGTTATCTCGTATGATAAAGACAAACTTGTAGGCCCACTATCTGTAAAAGATAAAATAAAATAACTCACGAGATCATCATTTTTATTAGTATAAAAAAGAGAACTTATCTTCTTTAACATAAAAAAAAATGTTTTCCCTATATAATATCGTTACATTGTCAACTTAATTAGTTTACTAGGACAAATTCAAAATTCTTTATTTATTCAACTTTAACACACTTTTTTTAAAGAGAATTACATTTATTCAAGCAACCGTAAGAGACAAAAATCTTCAACGTCTATAGCAAAGAACATCAACAACTTAAAATAAGCGTAGGTTTGGTTCCCTCCCTAGAAAAAAGATAACAACAAATAGATAGATTATAGTTTATTTTATTTTTGATTAAACTGCGGATTATTCACTTGATATGACTCGTAATCACTTTGGTTTGTGATTTAAAAAGTGAATATGTAATCATGGCATTTCCTTTGTTACCATATAATTCGTATAACTAACAAGCACATTAATATTTGCCACGTGCATGCGATAATATAAAATATAACTAATATGTTATAAATAATAAAAAGTTAATTAATTATAATTTTCAAAAAGAAAATGGGATTAATATTATATTTTGCTTAAAAATAAATAGATGCTTCTTAACAATAATTTTGTGTAATGAAGTGTTATTTAAAAACATATAATTTATCAATTTTGAAGTAAAGAAATTGTTCTAATGATTGAGTAAAAAATTAACGTCTATTGATCAAGAAATTGTTTGCATTAAAAACTTCCTTTATGTATTTATAAGTCTGTTTTTTTTATAAATACAGGTTTTTAAGACAAACACAAGAAAATATATGAATTTATAAACAATTCATATGACATTAATAATAAAACTTTTTAATGGATATACAGAAATTGCATATTGATAAAGCATTAAATTATGGAAAGAATGTTTGTCTTTATAAAGGACATACAGTGATACAGTTATGTTATTTTGAGTGAGAGAAAAACATAAATTAATATTTTTATTTAAAATTTAAATTAAAAAAATCACCCACTTTATTTTTCATAATTTTTATTATTCGTGATTTTCTTTTATCTAAAATGACACAATTTTATAACAGGACAAATATAAAATCCTTAAACTATTACTGAAAAAAAAAAACATTATACTATCATCGTGTCGAAGTTCGTATACTTGTTTGATTTCTCCTCTAGTGTGTTCAACGAACTCTCCATTTATAACGAGTAGGCCAATTAAATCTTTGAAAAAAAAAAAGTAGTGAATTTTATTACTAGAAATTTAAAATGGAAAAAATGTTTGTCCTTCTATAGGATATAATTTTGTGTCATTTTAAATTTTAACTGTTGATTTTCGTCAATTAACGGTTGATATTTATTGGGTTTTATAGCGAACTATTAATTAATTAATAAGTTTGACCAAATAAATCCTAACCGTTGATTGACGGATTATGATCTAAAATGACACAAAGTTATATCCTTTAAAAGAACAAACATTTTTCCCATTTAAAATAAAAAGAACAAAATTAAAGCACCAAAAAGAACAAAATAAAAATATTATCCGGGAAGTTTAAGATAAATTCAAATATATTAATAGAAAATATTCTGCAGATAAGTTATCTGCATTTATTTTCAAAATAACGTCGTTTTAGGATTGAAATATTTAAAAATTATAATTATAAAGACTAAAATAACCCTGAAATAAATTAAAATTACAAAAACATCATGATTTCCGCTCCAAAACGATGTAATATTAGGCTTACTGCAGATAATTTATCTGTAGTAACTGCAAAAAAAAGAGAATCCATAAATTAAACTGTTATAGATGTTTGATTTGAGACAGTGAATGAAGTTAAAATGAATTAATTCAAAATGTGAAAATAAACAAGTAGGTGAGAAAAATTATTACTTTTCATTTTATATTATATCGTGATACCTTGTATTATGTTAACGTACGTTAGTTGCATTTATACTTTCCATTTTGCAATCATGTCGATTTAACCTTAATAAGCTATTTCCAATTATGTTACAATGGCAATTCATTATGGTGACTTAAATTAAATATTTATCCATAAACTTATTTAATTTTGGGAGAAGTTATACTTACTACCTCTTTTTCTTACTATCATATCTTAATCGTTAATTTCCGTCGATCTAACAATTATAATTTATTAGAAATTAATAATTAATTAATAAGTATGATCATTAAAATTTGATAATAAGAGATAATAAAAAAGAGAGTAATAACTATGAAAAAAGTGTTTGTCATTTTAAATGATACAACTTATATCTTTTCACTCTCACAAAGAGATGAGACCCACACTTTTATTTTTTTTTGTCCACTCTCTCTCCTCCTTTATCTATCTCTTTCTCTCACTTAAAATAACACAACTTTACATCCTTTAAAATTATACACACTTTTCCCAATAACTATATCCTCTCCTATTAATCTTTAGAAGTCAAATTCTAAATTAGCATAAAAGATTATTTTCTGGAGAAAAAATGATTAAGGCCATAAAATTTAAAACCACCACGGCCCATAATGATTCAGGCCCAAAACCACTGAATAACTCTAACTCCCGCTCAAGTATTCAAAAATCAAAAGAAAACATCAGATTGAGATTCGCTTACAGAATTCACTGACTCCACCTTCACTACCTTCACCACCATCACCATTTAAGAGAGAGAGAGAGAGAGAGAGGCATGGAAGACAACAACACAGAACAGGATAAGCGATTGACGCTGAAAATCGCATCGATTCTCGACGAGGCTCGAACTTCATACGCAACGCACAACCGAAAGCTCAAGGAACTATCACTCCTCCGATCCAAATCCCCTTCCCTGTTGCAGTTCTTCTCCGCCTTCTCCAAAGCCCTAACTCCTCTCTTTGACTTCCAGAGGCGCCTCGCCTCCGCTGACCGCGTCGTCTCCTTCGTCTCCGCCTTCGCCGCCGCTCGAGACACTGCCGATGCCTCCATTTCCGATGAGTTTCTCGAGCACTTCCTCAGGTTCCTCCTGGTTGCCGCCGTGGCATCCAACAAGACCGCCAGGTTCCGAGCCTGCCAGATCGTTTCCGAGGTAACCGATTCTCCGAATTTGGTCCTACGGAGCTTAATGCAACTTTTTGAACTGCTTTTCTTTTCAATATAAAATGCAAATTCACGGTTTACAATTACATAGAAAATGAGTATACTGTAATATTTGGAACTACATTTAATTTCTCCAACTGTGGTGTCTATTCATTGTTTGGATTGAAAAATTACTTATGATTGATAAATCTTTTCGCTACCTTTTTTTTTTAATTTTAGTTTGATTGAAATTCATTGATTTGTAGATAATATTGCGGTTACCAGACGATGCAGAAGTGAGCAATGACCTATGGGATGAGGTGATAGAATGTATGAAGGTGAGGGTAGGAGACAAGATACCTGCGGTGCGTACTTTCGCGGTTAGGGCGCTTTCACGCTTTGTGAATGACTCTGTGAATAGTGACATCCTTGATTTGTTTCTTGAGATGCTTCCCTTGGAGCAGAATGCGGTGAGTGTCCCAATTGGATCGAGTGAATGTATTTTTCCATGCCTGTGTATCAATTGTGCTGTTTTGTCTTTAGGGTTTTTAATATAGGGGTTTGCATCTATCATGTCACATGCCACAAATTTTTTTCCTACAGACAACATTTTGTGGGACCCTCACTTTTTGAAGCAAAAAATAAATAAATTAAGACACGCAAAACGAATCTCTATAACATTACACAATCATTTTTCCTACAACATAACTCTTATAAAACCCTTTAATATATTAGGTTAGATACAAGTTCATCTGAGGGTTTGAGGTGAAAGCACTACGTTCTGTTGGCCATTAACTTCTCATATTAGCATGGCTTTGCATTGTAATATGACCTTGGTCACATGATTATTGCAGAGACTTCCCCTGCACCTTATGATTATTCTGGGTTCATAAAATCTTAATATCCGGTTACTATAAAAGTTTGCCTAAAAGGATATATCTTCCGATATTGAGTAAAGCACGTGTTGTTTATTTATTTGCTTAAAACCATATACTGGTGTGTTTAACCTCACCGGTTTAATTTTTCTTTTTAATCTAGTTACTGAGTAAAGAGAATAAAGGAAAGGGGGAGAAAAGTGAGAGATGAGAGAGAAAAAAATTTCTGAATACTTGTATTATTCAGGCTTGACTACTCTAAACATGTAGTAACCAATTTATAGATACAAGAAAGCTTCCTTGAGAAGCTCGGAGCAAGAACAGAAAAATAGGATCAACCACACCTGATCATAGCTTCTATAGCAGAAACCTAACAGCCATAACAGACCTCGTAACTGTCTAACTAATTAAACTAACTAGTTAACTGTATATTAAGTATCTTATAGACTTGGTTGCAGTGAATACCAGCCTAGCACTGAAGATACATACAAGTCCAGTAAAGTACATGAAAAATACCTTCCATTCTCCAATACGGCAATACCGACTCTTAAGCTTATGTATTGTCTTTTAATGGCTCATGGAAAATATCTCCATGAAGCATTTTACGATTACTGATATATCTTAATGCTACATATGTATGCAAAGAAGTAGTATTCCTGTTATTAATTTTGGTGAAGTGTGCAGGACGTTCGTAAAATGATCGTGTTATCTTTGCCACCTTCTAGTGCAACCTCTCAAGTTATTATTGATTGTACGTTGGATGTGAGTGAATCTGTACGCAAAGCAGCATACTGTGTTCTAGCTAATAAATTTCCTCTTCAAAGCTTAAGGTAAAACGTTGTATAGTAAGAATTATAATTCTATCTCTGTTGTTCCACATTGTGCTATTTGAGTGAATCCCTTAGGATTTGGATCGTCTAATGTGCAGGGGTTCACTTATAGAGTAAAGTGCCAGTAGCAACTGTCGAAAAAATTAAATCCATGGTCTAGATTTTTATAAATGCAAGGGCATGTATATTGGATATTAAATCATGGATATGTGATAATAGTTCCATTGATTTTCTCATTAGTGGTTATGGTTTCTATTTTACTCTCTCTAAAGTGCCCACTCCAATTTAGAGGATCCCAATCCTTTCTTCGATTTTAACAAGAATAATATTTTCAATTCCTATCTGCATGCCTCTTCTGAAACCTTTCATCTGTTGTTGTTATAGTAATAAATTGTAATTTGTATAATTTGTCTTCCTTGTTTGTCTTTTTTATTTGAAAATTGTTTTGTTATAATATCCTTTAGTTACCGTTGCCAAGGGTGGATATCCTATTATGATTGCTACCTTCTTAAACATTTTTTCCAGAATAAGTATCCTTTTCTAACATTTTCTCTTTCATTTTCCTGGTTTTTGTAGCATTAAGCTCAGGACAGTTATTATTCGGAGAGGACTTGCTGACCGATCTGTTGCAGTCTCAAAGGAGAGTTTTAAACTATTGAAAGATGAATGGCTTATAAAGTGCTGTAATGGCGATCCTTTACAACTTTTAAAGTATCTAGATGTTGAAACTTACGAATCAGTGAGCGAGTCTGTCATGGGGACACTTCTCAAAGCTGGTTTAGTAAAACTACAAAATGGTGGAAGTATCCAGCAGTACATATCATCAAGCACTGATACAGGAGAAGGTTAGCTAAGCTTTTTAAAGTTTAAATTGTTTTATTTGTTTTCACATTAAGTGTTGTTACATGTTGCTTGGTTAAATCTTTCAAAAACAAATTTAAAATCTAGTTTTGATGTATCTTTTTTTTATGTTGCAAAATACATGACTAATTTTTTATATAAGTTAACATTTGACTATTTCATAGGCATGAGTTCAAATATCTTTGGAAAATATTCATACAAATGGTTTGGTGGGTCAAATATATAGTAGCCAAGGCTGTGCCCCTGCACTATCTTGCACTTCTACATCTTCAGACATTTTCTTGCTTCCTTGAATTTAGTTTCTTGAATGTCATTATGAGAACCTACTCATTTTATTTTAACTGCTAGGCAGAAAGTTGTGTATCATATTTTATTGTTTTTCATATTAATTGTAGGGGACTCAGTGCATTGCCCACCAAGCATTCAGCTGATGGAAGCAGAGGCTGCTCTTTATTGGAGAGCTGTATGCAAACATTTGCAGTCAGAAGCACATGTGAGTTAAAAGGAATATATCCATTTTTCATATTTATTTATCTGTATAAGTGCAACACAAGATCTTTATAAGTTAGTATCTTGGTATGCTTTGAATAAATTTCTGGTAGTTTTTCTTATTTACGAAGGAAAAAGGAACAAGTTGCTGACACTCATAACAACTAATCTCTGTGCATCTGTAGCTCTGCTAGCGTATTAATGCATATATCTTACTGGTAGCTAAAAATTGTTGTTAAGAAATCATGAAATCAGAATTCTTTATTGCTTGTCAAATTCTTGCTTGCTGGTTTTATCTCGTGTATATCTTTTACTTTTTGGAATCTAATTATTGAAGTACTATTATAGGTCTTCCTTTTTTCTTTTCCAAACCACTAAGGAGTATGATTTTTCCCCCAATAGGCCAAAGGTTCTGATGCTGCGGCCACAACGGGCACTGAAGCAGAAGTATATGCAGCAGAAGCATCAGATAAAAATGACCTTCTAGAAAAAATTCTTCCTGCTACAGTTGATGAATATATAGAGTTGGTCAGAGCTCATATCAATGCTGGTGAGTATAAGTTTATATGGATAATGCTGGTACACCTAATTCCTTAATACATACGTAAGTAGTCTTTTCCATTATCTGCAGGATCAAACCATCGCTTTGCATGCCGGCAGCTGCTTTTGCTTGGAGTCATGTTTGATTTTTCTGACGCTACAAATAGAAGGGCTGCTAGTGCATTTCTGCACGAGCTGATTTGCAGGCCTCCCGAGCATGAGGTTGATAATGTAGGGAATGTGCTTGTCATTGGAGATGGATTGAGTTTTGGTGGAGACAATGATTGGGCTGAAGCCGTAGCCCGGTTGGGAAGGAAAGTCCATGCTGCTCCAGGTGAATTTGAAGAAGTTATTCTTGCAATTATTGAAGAGCTAGCTCAACCTTGCAGGGAGAGAACAGCAGATTATGTGCAGTGGATACACAGCCTTTCTCTTACTGGCCTTTTGCTGAAAAATGCAAAGTCATTGCACTTTCTTCAGGGCAAGGCTATTGAACCAGATGAACTACTCCAATCTTTATTACTTCCTGGGGTAATAAATTGTTGCATATCTCCCTATTGTTTCAGCTAACTATGTCTATTAAATAATAAGCCTGCTACAGTAATATATTTATTTAAGTTTATGATGATATTTTAGGCATGTTTGTGCTAATTTATAAAACAGGAAATGGTTCTTGCATCATCATAATCAAGAATTAAAATGGTGCAAAACCTTAGAAAGATATGATGTGTAACTATAGATATATTATAAAAGTAAATATACGAATCTATCCAATCTTGAAAAATTATTGGAGAATTATTCATTGATGCAATTCCTCAATTCCTTACAGCTGAATGAACTATGACAACTATACTAAATATTGTTATGAATGTTAGAGATATATAAAACCATTAATGTAACCTTACCCAACGTCTTAAGGTTTTGGGTTGAATTGGTTCTTTACATGGTATCAGAGCCTTATGTCTCGAGTTCGATCCTCACCGCCCCCCACTTTCTCTTATGGAATTTCTTAACACAGGTAGGTGGGCTTGTGTATTGTCCACTCTTCAAGCCTAGTGGGCTCTCATGTGAGGGGGCGTGTTAGAGATATATAAAACCATTAATGTAACCTCATCCAACGCTTTAAGGTTTTGGGTTGAATTGGTTCTTTACAATGAAGTTCACTAAATTATAAAGAAAACTAAGAAATGATGGATATTCTATATATACATATACCTTAAATGTACGTTTCATGAATGTATTCTTGGAAGGTATTAACTTTCTAGTGAGCAATGTCTTGCTATTTAGAAAATGGCTTCGGGGCCAAATCAATTATAGTGGTAGATCTTGTTTGAGGGCATTGTTTCCCAACTATTTACTGATGTGGACAATGAAATGCACAGGCGAAACAATCTCACTTGGATGTGCAAAGGATTGCCCTCAGATGTCTTGGCCTTTTTGGGCTTTTGGAGAGAAAACCAAGTGCAGAACTTTTGAAACAGCTGAGGATGTCATATATTAAAGGGCCACATTCAATTAGTATAGAGGCATGTAAAGCATTAATTGATCTTTGTATGTGGCATGGCCCTCAAGAAGTTGACAGGGTGTTAAAGCACAATATTCCATGCCAAATGAACTGTGACAAGAAGAGTTTTAGTCCTGTGGACTTCTCTGATTCAGAAGGGAATTCAGATGTTGAAATGCTTGATATCTTATATGGTGGCTTTCAAAACAGTTACTGGGCTAGTCCTTTAACTAACACTGAAGATGAGTGCATTTATGCTGTACTTGGAGAGGGGTTTGCAAAAATTCTTCTCCTAAGCGACAAGTATCCAAGCATACCGGCTTGTTTGCATCCTGTGCTTTTATCTAAGCTCATTTACTTGTATTTCAGCGACGTGTCGGAACACCTGCACAGGTGGTATCTCTTTGTCTATCTCTCCCCCCTCACGTTTTTACTATTCTTGGCCTGTATTGTAGCTAATTGACATTGAACCTGACACTCATTGGCCAGGTTGAAGCAATGCTTATCTGTTTTCTTTGAGCACTACCCATGTCTCTCAGCCAATCATAAGGCAAGCATCGCTGATATCATATTTTCTGTGTAATTCATCATTCTTAATATTTACTTTATACTTATTTGAATGTCATATAAAATGTCCTAATCGTTGTTTTTTTTTCCAAATTTAAATATAGAGATGCATATTGAAGGCTTTCATTCCCGTAATGCGTTCAATGTGGCCTGGAATTTTTGGCAATGCTGGGGGTTCTTCGTTTGTGGTGTCTCAGATGCGTAAGCGTGCTGTTCAAGCTTCACGTTTTATGCTGCAGATGGTGCAGGTTCCTTTGTACATTAAAGAGACTCAACCAGAGTGTGAAAACCCTAGTACAGAACAGCCACAAGTCATAGATAGTTGTGAAGAAGTTCCATTTGAGTATGGTGAGGAGGGGCTTGCATTACGCATAGCCATAGAGGTAACCATCCGCAAATTTGTACTTAGTTAAAGATATGCTAAAACTTGCTCTTTCTGTTCTCCTAGTATAATAATCTAAGGCTGCACCTTTGTATGAATTGATACATGGTCGTGGTAGTCCTTACAGTTCTGCATTATTTACTTGTTTTAATGCTTTTATGTTGTTTACTTATTGTTCTTTTTCGTCAATGTTGACACGGACCTTAAAATATATCTGCATTATATGGTTGCAGAAAGTGCTTTTTTTATTTTTTAAAAATTTATAGAGATTAACTTATTTTAAACTTGTGCTATAGTTTAATGAAAATTTTACGTTAGTCATGTTTGTAATCCTGCTGCTTGATTTGTTGTTTATTTTTATGTCTTAGTTCCTGCATTGCATAATTAGTTGTATTTGATCTGGACTCTTGGATTTTGGACTATATTATTGTTGTCAATAAAATCACTTGTGACCTTAATTTTTTTTAGAAACTACAGCTAGTCATTCAATTGTAGTAGAAAATTTTCAGTGGATACCCGATTGGAGGTGAGACATATAATATTAAAATTAAAAGTGGGCGAAAATTGTCTTAAAAATAAAATAATGAGCGATTTTTTGCTCTAAGCTTGGAAATTTGTCAAACTTTCGGAAACTAGTAAGTATGAAACTTCTAATGAAGCTCTTGCGTAACCTACAAGTAACAACTACGTGCATAATAATTTTTTAAAATAATCCCAAGTAATTTTGGTTTCACCTGTGTGCTCATTGATGCTTGAGATACAATTACCACCAATATTGCCTAAAGCTAGGGACGTCACTTGGAAACAATAACCAAAGTTAATTATAATAATGTAGTGAAGGAAAAACTATCACTTAATGAAATGGCGTAATTCATATCAGATGGCTAAGTAAAAATATTGCATGATTCAAATTTAATTAATGGTTTTTGTTGCTCTTTTTCTTTTTTGCTTCTTACCGTCTGCTTATTTTGTTAAGGTGGCAAGTTTTCATTCGAAGAAAACAGCTGCTGAGAAGTCATATGTGTCGGCATTATGTAGAGTACTTGTCTTGCTTCGTTTTCGGTTATCAGAACAAGGGCCAGTAAAATTTATGAGGAGGCTTTTATGTCACATAGTTGAATGTGTATCTTCGGACAAGGATCTTGTTAAAGAATTGAAACGCATGGCTGAACTTCTTACGACAGTAGATAGGCAACCAGATCAGGAGTTGTCGCAAGATGAACTTAATCTCATTTTGGGTAATGCTTTATTTTTCTCTCCTAAGATGTCTTAAATGATAAAATGCCTATCCTTTGGCTCTTTTCTTTTGTCATCTGACAGAGTCCTCAAATGGCGAGCAGGCATTGTACTGACTCTAGGTACTGCAGCTGCTGCTGTTGTTGTTATTATTATTATTATTATTATGATGATGTGGCATGGGGTTGTTCAAGCAAGCAAAATGAATCTGCTATCTTTAAAATCAGTAACATGAAAGATCACTGATTCAGGCTACCTGTTTTACCTTTTGCTTTCACCTACCACGACACAATATTTGACTAGTACAACTGATAAAGTAATGCATATTAACTATAGTTGTTAGCAAGGCAATTTCAATCTTAATCTTAAGATATCATTTATATTCGTCATTTGCCTATTGGATATCTTATCACACCAAGGGCTTTGTGCAAGTTAGTTTTACTGGTCTTTTTTTGGATCCCCTGGAATATATTTTTTACTGCTAACATGTTCCATCTGCCACCTTATTTATTGAAGGGAAGTTGGAACTTGAGTTCAACCTGGACTTGGTTGGTTCTGTTGCAATGCCACAAACACCAGCTGCACACCCAACCAGATCTACACGTTCTAGGAGAAAGGTAAGGGTTGCGGAAGATAGTTCCGATGAAGGTTCACCTGCTTCTGTAGTTCCAACCACCCATCATACCGTAAATAGTCGCTCACAGAGAGCAAGCAAAACTGCAGCAATGAGCAAGATTTCTGCCTGTAGATCACTGAAAATTGATGAAATTGAAGAGCTAGACGAAGAAGACTCTGATGTACCATCTGAAGATTCTGATGTGACATCTGAAGATTCTGATGAGAACTTAAATATGTAGTTGACATGATACATGTAGTGGTCGTTGCTTTTTTATTTTCTTAACCCGTCTATGTTGTTGTATTTTGTGATTATTTAGATTGCAGGTTTTGTACAGAAGAGTGCATCCAGCTTGCATTTACTCGTGAGTCGTAGTGTAGTAGTCTGTATTGAGTTGAAGTGACTGTAATTCTTGTGTTTAGCAATTGCTGGCGACTCCGTTGTCAATCTCCTATCCCTTATTAGTACTGTATTGGAACACCTTATTGTATATATCAAATGTTCATTAGTAGTTGGAAGTTAGAAAAATAGACTAGATCTGTCTGAAGCGATTGCTTGAGCAATAATGTACTACTGTTTCATGCTTGATTTGTATATTTATGATCTTTCTAAGAAATAAAGTATACTTAAACAGTTAAGATTATGTGGATTGGGCGCATGTATCTTGCTGGGGAAGATAAAAGGTTTAGCTGTACTTCATAAAAGACTTGAAAACTAATGCGCTCGTTATCTAGAGAGCTGAACGTACTAAGTTTGCTGCCACGTTTATGTGAGTAGAATTCCTTCATTTTATAGTTGGTAAAAATGATCCAAGTTTTTAAGTTTGTCAGATAATTCGTAGATGTAGATCCTTGCAAGCATAGTATGCTGCCTGCTGGCTTGATGACTAACGTATTAAGAGAAAATATGCTTACATATACGGGCTAGATGTAAGTAGTTCAGTTTGTAGTTAAACTCTAGTATCTCAAGAGAAAGAGGATAAAACAAAGTTAAGGATAGGAATAATCAACTTGTAGAAGGCAATTATGTTGGCATGATTAGAGTGTAATTGCATATGTATTTGAGGCCTTGCTAATTACTCTGCGTTGAGTTTAATTCTTGCCGTGGCTTTCTTTGTTGTTTTTTATTTATTTATTTCTAGAGCAGCAAAAATAATCACCAAAAGGCCCAAAACCAAGGAACATACCCGGCCCTTCCTCCATCATGTGTCCAGTAGCAAAAGAGTAATCTGCTTCATGTTATTGGTAGTTTAGGCTAGAGAAGAAGTCAACCAACCGATTATAGTTGTAGTTATTGTTTTTTTTAGTCTAAGGCATGTACCATGTTACAAATTGTTGGACTTACAGTTTAGGCTAAACAAGTGATCATGTTACAGATTGTGGTGCCATACAATAATGAGGAGACAAAGAAGATTGGTCGTGTAATAGCATTTAAAATGTGGATCCAAGATAAATAATCTTTGATTATTAGAGAAAATTTATTACACTCCACTAGCATCCAAATTCTAATTTAATAAGGGTGAATGGACCGAATTGAAACACCCATGCCGAATGACGTATCTTGCCTCCTGCAGGGGTCCCATATCATAATGTCTTTATATCGTTGTAGTATAACAAGGACCAACTAGCCAGACGAGAAAATTGGACAACCCCTCCCACAAATCCTAAGCATTGAGGGGGAAAAAACAATGGAAAATGATTCCCAATATTTTAGATTTCTTTACAAGGTTGCGGAAGTAGGCCGAAAGATCTTCAAAAGACGTTGTCCCCAATGCTTACTAGTTACTAGTGGTATATGTCATGGAAAGCACATCCAAATGCCATAAATAGGAAAAGCTTTGCCCTTCCAACCATTTCTTTGTGGACACCATGCACATCATAGGGGGCAATTTCCATTTTCATAATGCAGTTTGTGCACTCAAAAAAGTGTAAGGTTCAATAAGAAAAGGAAAATTGTTAAATAAATGACAGAAAATGAAGTCTCTCTCTCACTCTCTTAGTCTAGTCTTTTTAAAATGGACATCATCGACATCCAGCAATTATTTAACTGTGGGACATTGACCTAAGTCTTCCAATTGGACAACTACCCTTTGTACACAATTTGCGGTCCCCATGGTTTGCCCTTTCATTTTCTACTTTAGATTAATTAAATAACGTAGATCAACAAAAGTAAGCTCAATAAAGTAATCAGATTTGGTTTACCAAAAAAAAAAAGTAATCACATTTGAACTAAAAACCGAAACTCATTACATAATATTTGTCCTTTTAAAATATACAATTTTATGTCATTTTAAATCCTAATCGTTGATTTCCATTAATCAATATTATAATTTATTGACACAAAATTATATTCTTTAAAAGAACAAACGTTTTTCCCATTGATAATATCATAAAACTAACCACAAAAATCAATAGGGATTGGGGAGGGAAGCAATATCACTGTCCTCAACTTACGAAAATCCTTTACGTGTAAGTAAGAATTTTAAATTACCATCAATGAACAACAATATTTGCCTTATGTCATTACAGTCTGAATGATTTTCTCATTGAAATTGGCTTTCGTGTATGTCAATTAGTTTTACTGCATTATGCGTTAATGAAAGATGTTTGTTACATGAAGGGTCTATTTAATTTGGGTTTGATGTTTATCATATTGTAGTAGATCTTCTATACATATATGCAAATATGTGGGGCTCATATGAGTCATATGAAGAAAAAAGAGACAAAAAGAAAATATGAATTGCACACACTTTTATGTGTGTGTAGGAGATAAAGAGAGATTAATCCCATAATTTTGTGAGCAATTGTGAAGAAGGTGAGAGTTCGTTGATTATTTGTCTGTGCAATACCAATTGCTTAACATGACTTCATCTGCATATGATCATATGCTGCGACCTTCAAGTGAGGCATGAAATATCAGCGGACACATGGGGTGCTATGTATCTAATTGACTTTATACGTAACTCTAAGCATTGATATTATACTCAATTTCTTGAGATTGTCGTGGGGAACTCATTAATTGCATCAATGGTGCTGTCTGACCGGAAATTTAATGTGTTGCATCACGAAAGATAGAAGGAAATAGCCAAGGCAATGCACTCCCAAAATAAAAGAACAATTAAAATCTCTCTTGTGATAAAATAATACACTTTTCTCCATATAAAATAGGAGAAACACACATTATATGAAATTTTACCTCGATATAATAATAAAACTAATGAAGGAGAGCTATATTTATATAAGTAAGAAGAGTTCTTGATTTTCTTCAGCATCATCATGCCGACCATGTTTTTTTATAATCAAAATTGTCGACCACTTTTTTATAAATCCTTAATATCAAAAGTAACTTTACCTTTTTTCTTTCTTTCTTTTTTTTTATTGGTCTCCTTCTTGAGTTTACTATATCGGGAATCATTCTCTTATATTATTAGAAAAGAAAATCTCTCCTGAAAAAATAAATAATTATATATTAAGAGTAGTACATAATTATAATATTAAAGTTATTTTTTATTTCTCTTTCCTAAAATAGTTTTGGCTGACATGGCAAAGAAAGAAAAATAATTTACCATTATAACTATATACTATCCTTAGTACATAATTATTTTTTTTTTCAGAAGATAATTCTCTCATGCAACATGAGAAAAATAGAACCCTTATAATATAGGGTTCATTTAATCTTATGTTGAAGGAGAGATCTTCTCTCATGTTGTGACACATATGTGGTGGGGCCCGCCATTTAAAAAAAAAGAAAAATAAGAAAAATGAATGTCACGAATTTCGATGAGTGTGTAGGAGATAAAACTACTCTTATGTAACATAAGAGTAGTTTTTCCCTATAATATATTTGTTTTCTTGACTTTTCCTTCTAAACCTCAAATCGTTTGCCAATAAAAATAGTATCTAATGTACTAAGAATATATTAAACTTGCCACACTCATCCCTTTACTTTAAAGGGACGTTTGGTACAAGGTGTTTTCGAAGATTTTTGAGAAACTGAATTTTTTTAAATTTTAAATTTTCAGATATTATCGTAAACTGAATGTAAAAATCATATTTTTAAAAATCGAGATTCCCGGATAAAATTTTTTTCTCTTATACCAACCGCCCCTAAGGGAAATCATTTTCTCATGCTATATGAAAAGAATTATCCCATATAATAGAAATAATATCACAAGCGGAACCTACAGACAAGAGGAGAGAGAAAAAATAGAGACGAAATCCACCTATGTTTTATGTGTGTAGAAATTTAATTTTTCTTAACCTGACATTAGAGAAATTTAACCCCTATTTTAATTATGAGGAAATAGGAAACTAAATAGTCTAAAAGCAAATTAAAAGGTACCTCAGGAACTGTATGGGTGACTTCACTAAACTTAAAAAAGAAAAAGAAAAAGAAAAATCTGGTGGAATCCACCTAAACTATGATGAAGCACATATTTATCAATATAAGTTCTACTCCACCCAATAAGTGCCAGTCGCATTGATTAAAGATGGCTGTTTGATTGAAAGTTTGATCCTTGGAAAAATATTTTTGGAAAGACCTTTAATCTTCACCACACTTCCATTACAATGTCAATATCACGTTAGCTAGAGATGTGTTATTGGAATTCTCAATACGAGCCATGAATAAACTTATAATAATAGGTTTTGAGTAAATTTGTAATTACTCTCTCTACTTTAAAGAACTCATAACTCTAAACATTATTGGTTAATTTTTCGGTGCATATAGTACCGTTCATCTAGTCAATGTAAAATAAAAGAAGCAATTCTTTTAAGGTGGACAAAAAATAATATGTTCCTGTGTGACACTGTGATGTATATTGCATGTATAGTGTGCTGGTGACGAATGATGCTAGGTAATTAGGTACTAGAAATTAATTCCGGAATATATAATGTTTGAGCACATGAATCATATCAAAGATCCTTTGTTAGGTTATAGTATAGGTAGCAAAACCCATGCCTACCACACATCCATGATCCACCAACTAATTGGGTGGAGTGTGTTCGTGAACCTGAGGAAACAACAGTAAATAAAACAGAACTTTGGTGATTAGTGCAAAACAAGCACATTTTTGTGGAAGATTTTGTTTTATTATTTGTAAGTATGCAATTAACCACAACAGGGAATCTTATTCATGCATGAGGGCTAGCACTATTCTCCCACTGACCATGTCTTTGTCACATTGAAAGCTCAAAACAATGTATTCCTGATATTAGCTTCATCTTGACATAAACTATTGTT